CATCTTGGCGGCGGGTGCCACTTTGGATTGAAATTATTTGAGGATAAATATCAATTTTTCTCCCAACCCATGCCATATTTTGTTGATTCTCTTGGGCCTGGTACACCGATGTTACTCTCAGGTCATTCATCTTAGGCCTACCATCTAACAAATGTCTACCTCACTCATCAAAGTCAAGCCTGATTTGACCATGCCTGTCATTCTCAAACACACTCTCAACAATCCCTGTCACCATCACTAATTTGAGTAGTGCACTACTTTAGCTACCAAATTTAATGATTGATTTACACTGGTCCATATGATTTGATACCTTTGAAATAATATTACTGTGTGATATAAATGTCTAAGAAGACGGTATAACACTGATCACAATAGTGCTTTCGTAAGCACTCTTCTCCAAACCAAAGGTATGCAGACCTTGGTACTAACCTAATCAACAAACAAAAGTAGAAAAAGAAAAGAAAGTAGACACAAATCGTGAGTCAGGTATAAAGTAGATGTATTGAGAATAAAAGAAGAGTTAATAGATTTATACCTAGTTAATGGAGGAATAAGTTTAAGAGGTGAGAAAAATGTTAATAAGCAAAGTGCTCGAGTGGAAATGATCTAAGCGGATTTCTACGAGTGTTATAACATTAGTATTTTGACTTATTGTAAAGGTGTGAAACTACTCACTCTCTTTCCGAAAGATGGGAAAAAGAGCGAGAGAAATGGGAAGAGACTCAAAACATATATCAAAGCCAAGCATACGAAAATAATTGGGATAGATGTACATTAAAGTCAGTTGGGGGTGTAACAAAAACATTCACTCATAGACTAGAAAACAGAAAACCTAGATGTAGACACAACTACATTTCTGATAAAACGCATTGAAAACACCAATACCAAAGTGCTGTCTTGATTGTATTTCAACATGTGACACACATATAAAAAATGATATGCAAAAGTCAGGAGTACAATGAAGCTCTAAATCAAGAAAAACTGCCGAATTACGTCAACATAGTATATTTTCAATTGAGAAAGACCGGATAGAATACTACATTATCAGTTTCTAATGTATCAGACTCAGTTACAATGGAAACATGAACGTTAGCGGCACTTGTACATTGTGACAATGCCACATACAATTGACCATGAGTGAATACTGGTTTAGGCAGTAAAATTGACACCTTTCCCAAACTCTGACCTTGGCTCTTGTTCATTGTCATGCAAAAAGCAGGAGCAATTGGGAATTGATAACAAAAAAACGGAAAAGGGCAATCCTCATTCCCTTCATGTTTCAATTTGGTTTTTGGTAAACTTATCACAGTACCTTTTAATTATCCTGTCAAAATCCAACATTGCAAAGCATTTTTCGCACAGTCTGTGATGAGCAGGCGTGTTCTGTTACATAGTCCAGTTGCAATACTCAGGTTTTGCAGAATCATTACCGATGAACCGACTTTTGATTTGAGATCATGTGCTGGGAACCCAGGAAATGTGAAACTATTTAATACATCCACTGTGACTGGGTCAAAGAAGTTCTTGTCCATTTCTTCAATCAATCTTGACGTGTAATATTCACCAGGCAGCAAGTCCAGAATCACATCATTGATAGTATTGACTGTAGCATTCAAAGGCATTATCAAGCACCAACTTGAATATAAATCTGTTAAGCCTACGCAATTTCCTGCATAGATCATGTTGATAGCAAGCAGTATGGTACTTTTCATTCAAGATTTGTCGTCAAACAACGACGGCGGGCAAACAATAGTCAATTTGCAATACATGAGAGGTACATATGCATTATAATCTTCCTGCAGACGACCTGACC